AAGAACAAAGCTGAATAGAGACACGCATGTTCTTTTATTAGAGGGGAAGGGTAGGTTTCTCTGAACTAATTTTACATTCTAGAGAACCAGATCCATAGCCAAAGCCAAGACATTGCTCTGAAATGATTTATGAATACGTACAAATGCACACATGCACAAACACATGCATCCACACGTGAACACATACAATGCACACACATGAATATTGTGACACACTCACACAGTGAATTTAAAAGTTAATTTACACTTCATCCTAGAAAGAGAATGGTGATCAGACCAAAAATTAAATAATAATAAAGACCAAGAAAAATGGTATCAAAAAAGACAAAAGTGTTTTATTTCTTTAACTTTACGTTTATTTAAAGTGTTTGAATTTTGGATAATACTTTATGTTCACTTAAATACACACACACACACACACACACACACATACATTTTTTGTTTTATTGTGAAGGCTTAGTTTACCATATTGCACAGAATATCTAACCATGTATTTGGAACAGTATTTAGATTATCTTGAGGATAATCCTGGCATTAGCTGCATCCTGGGGAAAGATTAAATTGTAACTAAATTAAATGAGAAGAAATAAAGATTTTCGGAATTGTCAGCTTATCGTTAAAGTGATAAGGCAGCATGAACATGGTAGAAGATAAAACAGTTACTTAACTCATAAGTATATATTGTAATATTATAGGTTACCCAAAACTCAGTCAGCATCCTTTTATGTATAGATTGAAAGAAGGAGGGAAGAAGGGAGATAGATGACAGACAGACAGACAGACAGACAGACGGAAGACAGACAAACTAGCTAGCTAGATAGAAAATGCCAGAAATTAAAAGAAACTTGCTTTTCAGTACAGGCCAGCAAAAAATAAAAGTCTCTCAAATTCAGGAAGAAGATGAACAAGAAAAATTCTAAATTATTAAATAATAAATTAGACCAATTATATACTACATATAATTCTAGCTAAATCTTCTAAGTTTCCTTTATTTAGTTTTAGAGCCTTGGCCTTAGCCTTCTCCAAGAACCCATCTCAGGTTATTTTAATACCAGTTTGATTACATTATGAATGGCTGAGCCTTTCTCTAGATTACAAGTATGAGAGCAAAGAGCATGTGGTTTGAGCTTGGCGAACTATCTCCAGTAACCAGCTCAGTGCAATACAAGGAATCAGTATGTGTTGTGTGAATAACTGCAGTTGCAAAGTGTAACCTTGAACACAAAGACAGAATGTCATGTACATAGGAAGAAACCAGTGGTTGGGTAAGCCTAGACCCTGACCAAGAGGAGAAAGAATTTACCTAGAGAATTTTGACATTCTTCTCAACTCATCTATAAAGTATTTCTAATCCCCTTGTAACTTTCTAAATTCTGAATAGCTTAAATTGACTTTATTATTTATCCTTCTTCTGATGTCTCACTTCATGGTTTCTAGACTGCCAAGGTAGACTTTACTTACAATGATCTTTCCAGCACGATTAATTTCTAAATTTAAAATGTGTTTTTCTGGTAAAAAAAAAAAATAATGAATAGTAAAGAAAATGTATATTGTACCTCATGTTGTAAATAGACTTGTGTGCATGCACACACATTTTGGTTTTCTCCTGGAATTCTTTTGAAATAGAACAAAATCATCTTCTAAATTCTATCACTTTGGAATAGAACAATTGATAAGGTAACAATTTTTATTGCCTCTTAACCAGGAACGTTATATGTTAGTTTATGTTTCTATGGGTATATGAGCAGCACTGCCTGAAAAAAAATGCTTCTATCCATCTATCTATCTATCTATCTATCTATCTATCTATCTATCTATCTATCTATCTCTGTGTGTACACACATATATATTAATATGATAAATATATATCATTAATTCACTCTTTCAACTCTTTATGGAGTGTCAATTAAATTTCAGCCTCTATGATACCTTTTAGAGATGTGATAAGGAAGAAAACAGGGTCTCTGCTTTCATTTGTTTCACACTTTACTCATACTATTCTAATATAGTTTTGAGCAAATTATAACTAATTTTATAAAAGGGAAATATAGAGTGCCATGACAGTAAATAATAAGAACATCATATATAGACTGAGAGTTCCTAGGATTAACTGGTGAGCAAAGATACGAAATAGTAAGAATTAGCTGTGCTAGGGCTTCTGGGAGAACATACACAGGCTCTGAGCTATGGAATATGATGCCATCTTCAGGAAATGAAAGGGCAATGAAGTAGAGAGAAACTAAATATGAATGAGACTGTGACTGGAGATAGGCAGCATCTTTTAGGTGCCTTTGAACCAAGAGCAAAAGGAAATCATTGAACATATTACATTAAAAAAGTAACATGGTAAGATTTGCCTTGAGAAAAATCATTCTGGCTGACATGTAGAAAATAGATTGCTCAGTATCAAGAATGGATGTGGGGAGACAAATTAGTGATTCAGGCAAGAAACCACAGTAGCTTGGACTAATATGATGGTGATAAATATAAAAAGAAGTTTACAAATGAGAGCTATGTAGAAGATAAAAATGCATAGGTTTGGTGACTGCATGGGAGAGGGAACAGGTGAGGGACAAAGTATATCAAGGATGATTCTGAGGTTCCTAATTCTGAAATTATATAGATGTTGGTTCTTTTTCCCTGCTTTTGGAAGGGCCAAAGAGGAAATGGTTGCTGGCTATGGAGTTACCCACCATGAGTTTATCTTTTTGGGTCCTAATGGGTTTATGATACCTTGAGACATCAAAATGGAAAATTTAAGGAAGTAGTTGGAAATACAACTCTAAGATTTAGAGGGTAGGTCTGGGCTGCAGATAAAATACATGATTATATTATACAACTCAAACCAAGGATAACTTTACTCATTCATTTTCCTTCTAGATGTAAAAAAGCATTCATTAGCCAATACGATTTATCTTATAGTAGTGTGACAATGATTAGAAACAACATAGTTTATCTCATTTAAAACAGACATACTTGAGAATACTAGTGAAGGACTCTTAATTCTTTATCAGATTAAAAAGAAAGAAAAGTTTGGTGTAGAAGCCAATTGCACTCAAGGGTAAACTCAACATGAGTCACTCTACCTACCAGTCAATGTTGCCCTTGTGATGCCAATGTAGGAGCAGAACTAGTCTGGCTCCATCTACGGAAATTCACTTTTTCCACTTACGTAGAAATAGTGATTAATAATCCAACTGATGATTTTCTCTTTACTGACAGCAATAACACAATAAACATATCCAATTTAATAACCTACCAACTTAAAAGACCACAAGAGTTCTATTAACATCATTTGGCCCAGCCCAGGTACCTGGAAAAAATGGCCTGAAGAGTCAACATTTAAGTCATATATTTCTTATAAAAGTATGATATTCATCTCAAAATAAAGATTCTTATGACAGTTTTTACTATTTTATTGTGAAAGCAAGATCTTAAAACAGATACCTTCTTAATATTTCATGATTAGGGAAATATATCCCACAAAATTAAAATTAATATAAATGATTGTAGTTTTGATAGTATTGCTGTGAATTACTGGAAAAGCAAGTTTTAAGGGTTACTACCATGGTACATTACTGTTTATATTAAGAGGTTAAAAACAAACAAACAAATACATTAATCCCTAGTCTTTCAGTACAGCTCTGTGAGGGATGGTGATGACAATGTATGGTCAAATTGACATCTAAAATTACAGCAGAGGTCTGTGAAAAATGTTTTCTGTATCTTTTGTTTAAAAATCCACTGTTTTATCTAACTGACTTAAAAGGGAGGGAGGCTTCAGAGAAGAGGGGGAAATAAGAGAGGATAGCAAAGAAAAGAGCAGGAGAGACACGACAAGATGATTTAATAATTTTCTAAAAAGTCACATGTGGAATTAAATGCTGTATTTTCTGATATATGAATCTATGTCACGGGGTAAAAACCTTTAACTGAAAAAGCAGTTGTGCTATAGTACATATTATTGATTACATGTACTTGTGACATAGGGATAATAAAACATTCTCAAAGGTTTGGTCTCTAAAGACTAAGAAAGATAATTTATAAAAAAAGTTGTTTGTACACTAAAAATAACTACGAATATAAGATGCATTTTATCTTTTAATATTTTTTCATACCAATTTTCACCACTTAAAGGATACTTAAGTCATTTTTGTTTCATTGAGGACAGTAGTAAAAAAAAAGTAAAGAGGAAATTAAATAATATATAACAAACATAAATTATACATATGTCTATAAATTGTATAATTTATAATTCATATATAATCCATATTTAATGATTATTAATTAATCAAGACAATCTTTCCAAGAGTGAGTAAAATTGTTAGTGATGTTCTGGTAAATAAAGCAGAAGGAAGGACATTTTATTTAGAGATCAATGGAGTGAAAGTGGCAGTTTTAAAAGAATCATCATATGTATGAAAAATAAAGAAAACAGGATAATATGGATGGGTAGATTGATGATTGTATGGACAAAAATTATATATTACTATATATTTATATTATAGTATCATAGTCAAATCTCAGTTATCATCAAACAACAATATTCTGAACATCTTTAAAATAAACAGAAAAAATCATTGAAACTTAATTAACAGGTAAATGTAATTAAAATAATTTCCCAGTGAATAAGCTCTTTTTCCCACGAGTTCCAGTATAACTATTAAACTGTATTTGATTTTCAGAGAGGTTTATGGACTTTATGACAAAAAAAATGCATTATTGTAAAATAGGTCGATGTTCGAAAATGTAGGACATTCACAATCTTTTCTCCAATTGATTTTATAGAAACCCAACAAATATATCGAAATCCACTAGAGGGAGCTGACATTATTGAAAAGTTGTATTACTTAATTCCCTATCAGGAAAATAGCCTCTCAGCATAAAAGATTTTGAAATAAAAAGAAAAATATGCATTTACTGTTTGTTTTATTCAGTTCATTCCATGACTTCAGTAAGAAATAAAAATAAAAATCTAGGAAAGTTGGGAAAGCTTCATGTATATCACGATGCCAATTCTAGAAATGTTATTATGTGGTAAATTCTTTGGATATTTACAAAGAAAAGCAATTTAAAACTTTGTTTTTCAACTAATTAAAATTTTAGTAGAAAACAAACATATCTTATTGTGCTTCTCAAAACAAATTTGAGAAATACATTTTTAAAAGTATTTTTATATAATATCTTTAAATCCAATTTTACTCTATGCTCCTTTGTGTGTACATATATAAATATACATGTATGTGTATGGTGAACCAAAAACTCATTTAATAATGCTTAAAAGTGTTTGTTTATAAACTTGCCTGTCAAAGGAATTTTTGTCTTAAAAAGTAAGCTGATGAGTAGGGATATTTTGGACCAGATACTATGTATTAATATCACAAGAGCAAATTGATAAGAGACAAAAGAGACTTCTTTAAACATTTGCTAGTCATATGGTAGGCATTTGCATAATTGCTCCACCCTTATATTTCATCATTAAATGAGAAAAATAGGATCTTATATAGTTATAATGAATGGATAGTAAAATGCAGCCCAAAGAATAGTTTATCCTTTTCTGAGTTTCAGTTGCCACATGTATGCTACAGCTATAATAATCTTCATGTAAATTGAAAGAAGTATTAGTAAGATGCCCAGCTAAATATCCTGTACTTAAAGAAAACTGGAATTAACGAAAACCCACTAACAGGACTTCAAATGCTCCTTTTCTTCCTTCATTGGTAAGGGGGATGGAAGAGGTAGACAGGGTAAATGGGATCAAATATGTGGTGACAGAAAGTAATCTAACTATGGGAGATGAACACACAGTGTAAACATATATATCCCTTACTGTTAACGTGTACAGCTGAAACTTATTGGATTTTATTAACCAATGCCACCATAAAAAATAAATTAATTTAAAAAAACTGTTCAAAATGTTTGATTGTAAAAGTTGCAACCCACCAAAGAGAAGTTATGCCTATATAAAACATATGCTTTATTTATTCCTCACAGTCATGAAATTATTACAGGGGAAGAAGGAAGAAATAGAAATATAACATTTTCCAACAAGGATATTTCATTACTTGCTACTACAGTTGTACGGAAGATGGTTCCTTTGATAGAAATTATTCTTTCATGTTAGTACTTTCTCTTTTCTTGTTAAATACCTAATTTGGAAAACATCAAAGCCATTTTAAGTGTTTTTACTTACTTGTCTGTAGCTCTTTTTCTCTAGCCTGCACATCAGCAAAGACTTGGTTAAAATGATTTGTAAAGGCCACAAAGTCTGCATCCAGGAACACTGGCCCTTGTCCTTTCTCTTGCAGGGCTATGCTTTGAATTTTTAATCGCTCAATTTGTGGCTGAAGAGCTGACAGCCGGTTGACTTCATCCTGTACCATAATTTAGGGTATGAAAATAAATAACGTTTTCTCTTTGTATACATTACATTTTTGCAAAGGAAGGTGTTAAGAAGAAATGATGCAAGCTTAGCTTAAAACCCTTATCAAAAAATTGTTAAGAAACATCTATGATGGTTTAGGCAAGCCTCTAGTACAGGTCATCATTAAGTTAAGAATACTTTGGCTCTTCATTCAATAGAGATCATCATATATAAATGTCTTTAAATTTCAAAATGACATCATTTAGAGCAGCAGTCCCCACATTTTTGGCACCAGGTACCAGGGATCCTGAGAATCTAATGCCTGATGATCTGAGGTGGAGCTGAGGCGGTGATGCTAGTGCTGGAGAGCGGCTGCAAATATAGATGAAACTTCACTTGCTCACCCACCCATCCCTCACCTCCTGATGTGTGGCCCGGTTCCTAAGAGGTTACGGACTGGTACCAGTCTGCGGTCTGAGGGTCGGGGACTCCTGATTTAGAACATTAATGGGTATGAATGTGTATGAGTGAAAAGTACTATAAATAACCTTATATTCTTTTTAGAAATCAAACATGGATGGTCCTCTACACCCCTCATCTCAAAATCATGTGACTTTGCTTCAAATTCTAAGTTTAATGGACAATATCTTTTCTTTAAATTCATTTATGTAGAATATAAATTATATGTCCACATATATTTGCATTCATACATACATTAAATTATAAATGTGTTTATAAATATTAATATATACATTATATGTATATATAATCTATGTAATATGTGTACATATTAACATATGTATATATATGTATATGTAATCTATGTAATATATATATATATATACACACACATACACACACACACACACATTCATGTCTATAATTATCTATCTTTTATATGGTCTCGTTACTTCTCCTGACTAAACAGGCAATTACCATTGTTTTATTTAGGGTGACTGTTTGCTTTTTTCTTTTTGTCTTGATATAATTATTAATAGCATCCCTTTCACTTTCAACAGTATCATGGTTGGATGAAAAATTCACATAGACACTCTTCTGTGCTATCCAACATAGTAGTCACTAGTCACATGTGGCTACTGAGCACCTGAAATGTGTCTAGTCCAAATTTAGATGTGCTGTCATTATATAAAACATACCCTGAATTTTGAAGACTTAATATGAAAATATACAAACTCTCATAGTTTTAAATATTCTTAAATCTTGAAATAATATTTTTGATATACCAGGTTAAATAAAATGCATTATTGAAATTCATTTACCTGTTTCTTTTTTCTTTTTCAATGTCTCGTCTAGAACATTTAAAATTACATATGTGGCCCAAATTTGTAGCTTGAATTCTATTTCTTTTAAACAGTGCCATTCTTTATAAAAATGTTTTCATACTCTTGTTCCCAGTAAAGATGAAATTCATATGTATCTGATACATACATAATTTGAATGTAAACACATTTCAAAATGTTCTTTTTAAAAGTATTATTATGGGTGGTGAACATACAATGCAATATATATGACATACTGTTGAATTGTACACTTGAAATTTATTGGATTTTATTGATCGATGTCACCTCAATAATTTTTAATTATAAAAAAGAAATAAAACTATTTAAAGATTAAAAATAAAAAAAGAAAAGTATTATATCATGGTCATTTACTTATAATTCGTACCTATGCTACCTTTAGAAAAAAGTACTTCAGGATTATTTACCATTTAAAATGTAAAAAGCAGGATAATCAAAATTTAAAAACTGTCTATGGCCATGCTACCCTGAACAAGCCCAATCCCATCTGATCTCAGAAGCTAAGCAAGGTTGGGCCTGGTTAGTACTTGGATGGGAGACCACCTAGGAAGACCAAGTGCTGTGGGCATAAAAAGTAAAAAAAAATAAGGGATTGTAAATTGACAAGGTCCTTGCAACCTATGAGGTCAACCAAGGGTTGCCTTACCTAAAAAAATAAAAAAAAAAAATTAAAAACTGGATCATAAACCAATTAAAAGAAGAGGGAAATTGAAAGAATCACAGTAATTATGAACTAAATATAACCCTGAGCTTCCTGAAAATCAAAGTGAAAAATAAAAATAAAGTTATTTTTAGATGCATACATAGTCTTTTGAACAGAGTAACTTTTGTCTTAGAATAAAATGAGGTAAATTTATCACATAGATCCTTTCACAGTAGCAAGACTACCTAATAGACAATGCCACTTGTTATGAGTTTTAGAAGATATAAAGATGACACACAATGCAATACACACACACACACACACACACACACACACACACATATATATATAGGACATACTGTTGAATTGTGTACACTTGAAACTTCTTTGATTTTATTAATCAATGTCACCCCAACAAACTTTAATAAAAAAAAGATAACATTCAGAGGAATGGTAGTATAATGGTTATAGATGTATCAGCTGATTCAGGTAGGTTAATCTCTGACAATCAAATTCTTTTGGTAGGTGAAGATGAGAGACATTTAAATAAATGGGGAGGTGACCCATGTCTTCCGTTCAAATATAAAGCCTCTCAATCAAGTTCTAGAAGGCAGGTGTATATCCAAGGAGGAAGAATAAGACAAGAGGTAAAGGGCAATATTCTGTGTTTTTGAGTATAGAATTATAGATATGCACTTTGTACACCAGGCTTGCAAATGGCAGCATTGACATCTGCTGTGAAACATATAAGAACCTTATTTACATTTGGCCAGATGGAGGGCCTTCATTCCTCCTGTTAAGGGAACTATAGAAGGAGCTACAGTAAAGTATGTTCTGCAAAACAAAGGGGACTTTGAAACTAATTAAACATTTGGGCAAATGTTCAGTTAAGACCTTAAAGTTCTGAGAGTACATTTTAGGAGAGATCATTTTGATCTGAAATATTTAACATTTAAAGATGTTAACAATTACTCATTATCTCCATAAAAGGGCCTAAGTGTGGTTGGTCCTCCAGAGTGAGGCATCTTCCCTGAGTCTGTTTATCCTTTAAAATTATATTTTGATCTGAGGGAAAAGTTTTATATCTTTCCCAGGAAAGGATCCATAGATCTCTTCCAATTCCAGAAAGGCTCTCTAACCATCAACATATTAAGAATCAGTTCTGGCGAGTATTAAATTTTGAGCTAAATCTGTACTCTAAGAAAAAAAAAATCCTCGAATAACAATGCATTGAAGAACAGGATGGAATAATTTACTTACCTATCATTAATCATAGCCAAATAGTATTATTTTAACCATTGTATAAATGACATTGCACTTATCCTGCTAAATATTTTACTTAAGTTGATTCCTCAAATTAATAAAAATCAATGGGGCACAAAGAAAGAGTAAGGGGCAATAAAGAGGAGTGGAATTGTGTCATAAGAATTTGAAACTTTGTGGCTGAATACATAAAAGCAGATGATTTTGCTTAGGATAACTTCCCTAACCTTAAGAGAATATTTAAGATATACAACCTCCAGTGATCTCCATTTGTTCCTCAAATAAAGACCAAGGTCTTAGCATGCCCCAAGAGTCCTTCCTTTGTCTCCTATATGCCTGCCTTTTTGCCTGCATCTTTCAACTTATGCCCCTGCCCCGCTATGCTCAGCATTCGCATTGGCCTTCTTGCAGTTCCTTAGTTGTTACTGCTCCCTCCCATCACATTCTTTCTGCCTAAAGCCACTTGCCATGCTATGCTCTTAATTTCAACTCATCCTAAAAGACTTAACTCAGATGTACCTGCCTCAAGGCAGCTGTCCTTGGTAGGTCTGTCTAGGTTAGGTTTTCTCTGTTAGGCACTCTCCCAGAACTCTGTAACTTTGATTAAAGCATTTGTCCTAGTGGTATTTTCACATCTATGTATTTAATCATTTCCTTAATGTCTCTGTCCCCTACTCTAGGTAAACACTATGAAGGCAGGGTCAATGAATGTATACTCTAATGTTGCCCAAACTTAAGTGACCGCTGCCCCAGGGGGTCCTAAAGGTAGAACCATGGGCCTGACAGGACTGGAAGGCAGGACATTGAACCAAAGAGGATTATTCCCAAGTCTTCAAACCCAGTGGAATTTGCCTTGCCACATTTTGGACTTGCTTAGAACACATCACCCCTTCCTTCTTCCCTATTTTTTTCTCCTTTTAGAATGGGAGTCTTTTTCTTCTGTCTGTCTCACCATCACATTTTGGAAGCATATAAATTATCTGGTTTCACAGGTTCACAGCAGGAGAGAAATCTTGTCTCAGGATATACCATATCTTGATTCTCACCCACATGTGATTTAAATAATATTTAGAGGAAACTTTGGACTTTAGAGTTGATGTCGGAATGAATTCTGACTTTTGTGGTTTCTGGCATATGAGAAGGACCTGAATGGGAAATGGCAGTGTCAGAATGTTATGGAATGAATTATATTCCCTCAAATTTATATGTTGAAGCCCTAACCCATAATGTGACCGTATTTTGTGATAGTACTTTTAGGAAGTAGTAAAGGTTAAACGAAGTTGGAAGAGTGGTGTCCGTATCTGATAGAATTGGTGGCCTTACAAGAAAGATTACTCTCTCTCCCTACAAGCTCATGCACCGAGGAAAGGCCACGTGAGGACATGGTAAGAAGGCAGCTGTCTGCAAGACAGGAAGAGAGCTCTCACCAGAAGCCAAACCCTACTAGACCTTAATCTTGGACATTCCAAGCTCTGGAATTGTCAGAAAATAAATTCCTATTGTTTAAGTCACACATTATATGGTATTTATTATGGCAGCCCCAGTCAGTTAATATACATAGTATCGAACTTGACCACATCGAATATTTATTTTATGGCTGAATCAGTTTTGTAGATGTTATTATTAATTTCTGTATCTGAATCTCAAGAACAGGTTAGGTAATATCATCAGATTTTTATTGCAAGAAATAATGTAGGTGGACTATTCCATTGATTCACAGAAAATAAAAGTTACGGATTCTACTCTTTAATAGAAAAATATGTCTAAATATAGAAAGTCGTAGATTTGTATATTTGCCTAATAAACTAAAGGCTTTTCTGTACAATATTCTTTGCCTGAAATATATATTTTCCAGGTTTATTTACTTCCTATTAAAACTGTAGGTCCAATATTTGAAGAAATGAATCCTTCAATTATTTTCAATAGCTTTGTATTTTTTATCATTTTCTGGGTTCATTACCACCTCCAAATCAACCCCATCAATTATCTCTAGTCTCCCATTATTTAAACCATTCTTTTCAAAGTGTGCAGATTAATCTTCATTTATTGCTTTTTATATTAAACCCAGACAACTGTCTATCATTAAGGTTCACCTTGGAAACCTCTTCATCTATCCTCTCATCAATTTCCCACTTCCCACGAAAATTGTGTAGCACATAGTAATTATGCAAAAAGTTCAAGTGATTGACATTATTAAATATCTCTTGTTTTCTTATACTTTCAGACATACTCTTTTAATCTCTTTCTCAGGGCCTCTTGTGCCAGTCATATGTTGTTTGCCTTTCCAGATTCACTTTCCAGCCTTTTCCTGTGACCCAAGAAAATGACATTTATGTACTATAGCTCCTTGTCCTCTGCCTTCTGATTAAGTTTAATCAATGTGAAACCCTATTCAGTTTCTGGAGGCAGGGAGAAGAGAGAAGTAGGGTGTTTCTTTTTCTGACTCCATTTCTGTGATGGCACTTGGGCTGGCTCCTATGGCAACCTTTACAAATGGCATCTGACTTTTTCCATCTGGGTTTCTGTAACATCCCTCTCCCTGATCTCTCTGCTTTAAGAATAGTAACTGCTCTGATAATGGGTTACTGTACTATCCCTTGTGGTTTTTCTGTCCTCCAAGCATGTTTATAAAGTATTTCTGCAAAGAAATCTTCTTTAAACTATCCTAATTTGAGTGGACTGTCAGTTGTAAAGCTCTTCCTCATCTAGTCAATTACATAGTCTATCAGCTGATTGTGTGTGTGTGGATTCCATGTTTCAACATATGACTGGGTTTTTGCTCTGAACACATGAACTGTTATAAGAAAGACTTTCAAATTATTGGTCATTTCTCTCAGGGTACATGTGGTTTCATACTATAAAACTGCCTCATCATTTTGCAAACTAGTAAAATCAATTAGCCATGTGTAACTACTGTAAATACATTTTTTTTTTTAGAATTCAAGCATCCATGTATCACCTACTTAAAACAATTTTCTTTGCTTCTATTTTGATCTTTACTATGTTTAATGACATCATTAAAGGAGAAATTTTATCATTATATAATTTGCTATTCTTCTGAAAATTTCCAAGGAATTCCTATTGCTTAAGCTCCAAATAGGGAGAAAGATTCTTACCTTACAAATTTTTAACTGGCTTTTAATCGCTGCTGGCTCTGAAGTGGTGGTGGGTTGGGTTTTCAACCAGTTTTCAGCAGTGGTTGTCATCTGCTCCAATTGTTGTAGCTGATTATAGAAAGTGATGATGTTGTTCTGATACTCCAGCCAGTTAAGTCTCTCACTTAGCAACTGGCAGAACTCGATCCACCGGCTGTTCAGTTGTTCTGAGGCTTGTTTGATGCTGTCAGCATTAACACCCTCTAGAAAGAAAGATTTTTAAAATATACCCACTGAAGCCACAGACTGAAAGACATTATCTGAAAACCAATGAGTCTCAAGTTTGAAAGTATTCTTCAGATGAATCATTTCAAATTGTTTATTTACTGATAAAGGAGTAAAAATACCAAGATGATTTCTGTATTACTGATTGCAAATTATTAGAGTTGCATCTTATCAAAACTATGACTGTAAAAAAATAATAAATAAGAACACGTAAGATGTAGTAGATTAGAATATATTTACATTTAAAAAATGGTTGAAGCTCTGACAGGGGGTGGAAGATTGATAATAGACAAATAACTTTCTGGATGTTTCTAAATAAATGTTAAATATTGCTTATATTATTAAAATGTACCATCAAAAAACTAACTTACATTTTTATTTTTTAAAATGGTTTGGAAATTAGTTGAAATTCTTTATCTGGATTATTTTATAAAAAGGTAAAAAAGTTAAGTATCTAAAATCAGTAATTCTCTTTTTGCTATAGAAAGCCAGAAATAAGCAGTCTATGGATCCAAAGAAGTGAAGCAACTACTAGGAAAAATAATCTTTCTAATAGCTAAAAAGGTTTTCATAATATTTGCATATCATTTCCAAATGTAGAGGTTGATCTGAAAGTTTTAAAATCTATCAAGGGCAACATGGAAACAAAAGCACATCGTTATCATCTTTAGCTTTCTGGAGAACCCACTACGTGTTAAGGAATAGGCTGTCTTTTAATATATATTATCTTATTTAAATTTTGTCATATATGATTAATGCCAATCCAAGTATATATTATCATATATATAGCATGAAAGCAGTATCATGTAACGCTATGTGCTAAAATATTCATTCTCTAAAGGTAGTTAACAAAATTTAGATGTTCTTATACATGCATAGATATATATCAGTTTATATAGTAACTTTATTAATTACATTACATAAAATATTAAACATGATATCCACTTAAAAATATAGCTATGTAGCACGGATAACTTTTATATATTTTTGAAATGATGAATATTTGAATATTTCCTATCCCTACATATATCCACAGGCATCTTAAAAGGGATCATAAACTATTAGATTCTTCCTCTAGATTAAAATATCTTAAGTAATTTAGTGAAGACTAAATTGTCTAGAAGACTCTACTTTTATGAATATTCATTTTACTTCACTTTCTGATAATATGATTTAGTTAATGAGAAGTTAAGTTATTAAAAAGACCATTGCTAACAAACATGAGCCCTGTGGTTCTGCTAACTTACACATGCTGTGTACTCTTTTTAAAGACTGAGAAATATGGATTTGAATTCAACAACTATATTATTTTATCCTCTTATTTTCCTCTGCTCTGATATTCTAATTTTCATTTTGTTGTAATTATGTTATGCTCTTAATTCATTTGAAACACAACTCTAATTTCAAAGTTTGATACTACCCGAGATGATATTGGAGAAAAGAAACTATGCAAATATTATTGGAAATCTTTTCCTCATTCTTCAGCTGATATATTAAAAAAAATAATTTAAAGTTCCCAAAGTACAAAGGTCTAAGGTCCAGCTTCCTGCCAACAATAGAAAGACATGGAGTTGGGGCCCAGGCAGACCCAGTGAAAGACAAAGCACAAAATTAATTAAGCCTTGAAGTGGACATTCCAAGGCCAATAAATGGCAGGATAATTTAATAATCCACATCATTTCTATGACATAAACAATGCATGTGGCTTAGTGTACCACATAATAATAATAGCTAACATGCTCTAAATGTTTATACATATCAATTCATTTAATTTTCACATTAGCCTTATAAAAACAATAATTGAAAAAATAAAATGTATAAAGGTAATATAAACATGTCGCCATATATACAGCTATAAGAGGCAGCATGTGGTTTGCAAGAGCTAAATATTCTTCTAATTCTCTCCTAATAGTTAAGAAAGTAATTGGTCTTACTGAGATGTGTTGTGTGATATACTGTTTGTGATAATTTAGTTTTGAGCAGTGATCAAGAATTGTGCCAAATATGTTTTGAGAATGCCGCTAAGTAACTGTAGTTGTAAAAAGATAATGGCTGTTACAAAATCTAAGAGAAGAATCCAAAACTCCAGTCATATAGGCACTCGGTTTGAGGAAAAAATATTACAATATAATGCTGACATTATTGCTGGAAAATGAAATAATTAGAAAAAATACAAAGGTGAGAAATTTTAAATTATATTAGATAAGGACTCACAAATGTGCCATGGATCTAAACGATCAGATGTTTAAGAGAAATATTTTTAGCATATGTTAAACTTGAATAAGCTCTTAGAAGAAGGAAGCGCATGGCAGTTCTCATTCAAGATAGGCAAATAAGAGATGCTAAAGTAATTTAAAGAGACTGATGGACTACTACCGGATTGAGTCTTATTTAACATTTATCTAAATAAAGGAATACAGAGAGAAATATCTCACTGCCCCTTAGAGAGGTCAACCATAGGACAACCTTTGGCATGAAAAAATAAAATCATAAGTTAATATTCAATATGAATAATACATGTTATTATAATCATGAAAATATAACTCAAACTATAATAAAATACCAATAGGTTCTGTGGTATCTATTAAAATCTAGAGATAGAATTTAGTGAATCCTTGTTGATCATTACCCAAAACTATCAGTTCAATACGTTATGCCAAAAAAATGTCGATACTAAACATCACTGTAAAAGGAATTAAAAAATGAGGAAAGTGAATTTTGTAGAAATCTACTATGTAATCAACAATATTCTCTACTTAACAGCATATTGATTTTTATAACTGAATAAAGGCAATTCAAATAAAATAATAGGTAAAAGAAGTATCTCCATTTTAGGATAAATGGTTAAGGCAGGCAGAAAAACCTAGAAATTCATAATAAGAGCTCTGGTATTAGTAAATCTGAATTCAGATTTGACCCCCTTCACTAGATGGGTGAACTGGGTTCAGTTATTTAATTTCAATGGGTCTCAATTTTCTCATCCACGAAATGAGAATAAAATAGAATTGACCTCATAGGATACCTATGAGAGTTCCAAGTTAACATGTATGAAGTAGTTACACAAAATCTGACATACACTAGGCAATCAATAAATATTGATCAATGTTAATACAAGGAAATGAAAAGGAACGTGTAGGAAACAAGAGATTAGATCTTACAAATGAGGAAACTGGGGGGGGGGCCATGAATGAAAGAAGTCATTTATGAAAAATAAATGATTAATATTTTTAAAGTTAGTGCTAACTTTATATAATATGGCATGGATATGGGATACAAAAAGTGTATGTATAAATTTTTAAAAGAAATTTTGTCAACCAGTGATGAATCCTAGAGTTTAGTAGGGAATCTTAGAATATTTGGTCATACATCTATAATCATTTGAAATTAAAGTTATAAAGGACATCCATGCCAAAAATTAAAAACAAAAATTTCTAGATGTCACTGGCAAAGGTAGGATGGTGGCTCTTGATTATCAAACATCTTATTATAAAGGATTTGTATGTAAATATTGTATTAATTCATGTGTGAATATGCTTCCTGCTCAACTAGAATATGACCTGTGCCTAATGAAAAATCCCTCTAAGAAAAATGGCTCCACTGGCAGTACCTGATAGAGTTCTCAGCTTAGAGTCAGCACGGAATAAATACAATGTACTTGTTGACTTATTCAACACCAAATAAATAGCTTACTTTATACAAATACAGATATGAAGAGAGCACTATCCCCAGGCGCAAAAAGCCAAACACAAACACACACACAGTCTCTCTTGCTTCAAATTGGCTTTAAAATACTTGGGGAGGGATCAAAAGCACTGTCACATGTCATATTACTTAATGTTTATTTCTTAAACTAAAATTATAAATGCCATTACTTCAGCTTCATGAATAAAATGGCCATCTATTATCTATTACGAGAAAGTCCCTTAAAACATTGGTAGAATAAGGGTACTAAGTGTTTCCCAAGTGAATACTCACATGTGAATAATTTTACTATTATATATAATTGTTTTATGTGTATTTCATAGAATTATGCTCCTTAACTGAACATTTTAAGTTCTATGACAGTTTGTAAGTATAAATATCTGCAAAGTTTTAAGTACCAATTATTTGAGCATCTGTGTTTCTAATTTTTTTGTCAGCTACTTAAGAATACAAACACTAACTCACCCGACTTTATAAACAATACTTATGGAAACCATTTTGTAGCGGCACATTAAAATCTCAAAGATAATGGATCATAATCTATTCACATCTCATATTCTAAACAACCCCTGAAATAGTCTGTGAATAAATATATTGCTCCCAGAGGAAATGGATCATTACTTGAAGTGCATCCATTAATTTTATTACTTGTGTACAGTGCATAACAGACTGTTAGAATAATTTTAATTGTGCACCACCTTCCATGCAAGTACTTTAGAACTGCCACTTAAAGTGAAGTATTCCTCATCAAGTATATTCATCATTAGCCATGAAGCCAGGGTAGAATAATGCAAAACGTTGTGTTTTCAGAGCTCTTGAATTAGAAGAATATTTGGAATGAAAACTTAAAGTTGCTAATAAATAGTCTCTGATTGTTTTGTATATTAAGTGAGGGTCATTACAAATTCATTTGGCATTCAATGTAACAGACTAAAATATAATGGAAGTTTATTCAGAGCCCATGAAGATAGGGTCTGAATATTATAGACTAAATTCTAGAGATTTCGTTGACCACACTAACTTTTATACGACTGCTATGTCATGTTTTTTTAAAATAATACCTTTTAAAAATTAATAGCTTTATATAAAAGTCAACACCTCTAGTAAATATAATATATAAATTTACTAATATAGCTTTTTACATCATATTTATAAACATCATTGAATTATAAAAGATAAAAGTCCAATTCCAACTAATATTTGTTTTTGTGACTAATTTTCTACAACAGTGACTACTATAATCTCCTCCCTTCACACACACACACAGACACACACACACACACAGTCTCTTCCTTTGGAGATTAAAGAAAAATGAGTCTGTCAATTAACAAGATTTATTGAGTGTGAACTCTGTGTAGACCATTATCCGATGTGTCCCATGGAGAAACAGGAGACATAAATCAAATTGCCCAGAACTGAGGAAAGAGTAAGAGAAGAGGAAATGGGTGCAACTGTGGAAAGCTGCTCATTCGCAATAGAGGGTCTGGATAACTACAAATAGTGAAGCAAAGATAATGAGAGTTTGGCTTTGAGGTGAGCCAAACTGACTATAAAAATCCCTGCCCTTGCTCATCTGACAAAATTTTGTCCAAACTCTAATGATATCATACATGCGAAGTGCTTAATGAGTTATAAAACAAAATACTAAAAGTACAGTTACGCAATTAATATTAGAAGCTCTCATCTGTGTGTTATCAGTCTATGCTATTTAATTACGATCCTTAGCAGACTTACTATTAGATATTATGTTAAACACTATAATCTAATGCTGTGGGAATGACAGTTTTGAGATGTTCTTTTAGTCTTATATACTAATAATTACTACTTTTATTTAAACATTTCTTTAATGTGATTGTCTTCAGGCTCTTAACACACAGAAAACTACAATTAGAAATTAAAAGTGAAGCATAATTTCATTTAAGAAACATCACTAACCCTATTAGGTAATTATAATAACTCCTCTGGAAATTGTGGTGAAAGCATTTCACAGCTTAAAGAAGAGGGAATTAAGCTATGCTTATATATGTTTTCAGATGAATGTTTTGATATAATTATTTTTTGGCAATTTCAATATTAATAAAACAACTTATCTAAACTAGGTTTTTAAAATACATGACCAATAGGAAATTATACATTTATAAATCTATATTACATATCTCCTCATATAGACAATATATGCAAGAATATTATTTTATAAAAGTTAAGAATAAGTATAAGCATATGTTCTAGATTGTCCTGAAATCCCATAATTTCACTCATATACTATAAAGCTTTTACTTCAAAGTAGCAAATCAGTTAAAAACTGTTCAAAATAAAAATTTTGGAAATCAGAATTCATTAATTAATAATCAATAGTATTGATATAGTGGCAAGATTCTTTACCATATTTAGTTGCTAAAATTTCCTAAAATTTAATTATTTTATACTTTTTTTGTTTAAATAAAACAATATAAAAATAAACCTTGAAGAAGTTTATATATATCCTTTTTAAAAAATGAAATAAGTCAAAATTTGGAAACTCCCCTTCTCAGTATCACAAGGTATAGGAAACATAATTAGATCACTAGGTACCCAAGCTAGTCTCCCACTTCCTCTCATTAAAGTTCTAGGAAGCAATCAATTTCTTGAGAATAACGCTATTATACTAATCTGATATATTGACAAGAAGGTTCATAAAGGTTATATCTGTGAAAAATTTCTCCCATAAGAGGTTCTCTCCACCATCCAACACTATGAAACTGCTCCTCATACTTACCTAAGCAATTGATGTTGACAGAGGAACAGCAAATTAATTTAATGTTAGCTCAAAAAATATAGGTAAGAAATAGTTAAAAGTACACCAAAATTTCATGTCAAAAACCCCAGAAACATGATTTTTTAGTTAATATTCTCTCTTCATAGTGTCGTAGCCTCTTTATGTAGGCTATTAATATCATGAAGATCCGTTACACTCATAAAATAACTGGGATATCCATTAAAAAAATGTTCATGTATAGGTTTAAAGTAAGCAAATAATTTATGCAACCTCCTTATTTTGGTTTAAAAAAAATATATTCTAAATAAATTAATAAGAATCACTTACCGAATCTCTGCAAAGTTCACAATTAAATTCATAGTACAGTTGATAATAAATTTCAAATTATATTGAACATTAACTGTATTTTAATATGCTGTATATAACTTTGCATTTGATAAGGTGCAGAAAAATGAAAATTATCTTCAAATTGATCATAAATTCTATGCAAAACTGAACATGCGTAACAAGAAATAGTGTTTTCAGGACATACAACTGATTTTTAACACAACTTTGCAACATCAAATGAAAGTCACTTCTACATTGTCATCGTGGTAATTTCTACACTTCTAACAATCTTAAGACCATTCTCCACTACCTGTTTCTCAGTACCTTTCTCAAATTCTTTCAAGAAATTGCTTCGGATCTAACAGATTTTGTTTTCTGTATTTCTTAAGTGGTAATAAAAATTCATTCTTTCAATAGATATTTAGAAATGGTCAAAAGTGATTTGGAAATATGTCTGATATACCATTTGGGGTCAAAGTGATATAAAATGTTAAGTGCTGAGGAATTTTTTGCACGTCTTAGAGTTTCATTCTGAAACAAAATTTAAGAGTTTCAAAATTATCGTAGGTATTTTAGAAAAGTACTCTAACCTTACAGTAAATTATTTTAAGTAGAAAATTCAATTTTCTAGATATGTATGTATACATATAAAAAAGTTTTAAAATATTTCCTTTAAAATAGCTATACTGAATGCTATTCTTCATATATATTTTACACTAAAAATATGTTAAATATTATCACTGTAGAATATATATTAAATGTATATATATATATGTATTAGTTGCATAATACAACATTATACAACAATAACTTGCCTATATCTTAATTTTTGAGAACAAGATGTGTAATTAGAAGAAACAGATGCTTATATGAGGTTTTAAATGAAGTACCATGATTCAACTCTTGTTTTCTTTTCTGTAAATAAAAGAATATATGTGATTTATATGGTTATGTTTTATTATAACTCCAAATCAAACTTGAGGAAGGAAATTCTGGGCTTGTAAATTTAAGAACTTTACTGAGCTAACTGTTAGGAAACCTGGTTTAGAGAAACCTCAGTTTGTATTTCAGCTTCATGAGCCACACAAATAAACTCTAGTTTTTTCCTCTATGCTAGTGGAGCTACCTATAGTAAATTAGGGTTTGGGATCCCTCTGAAATATACCTGCAGAAGTACTCCCCAGACACTTATTGTATGCCTGGCTTAACTCACAATTTACACAAATGAGAGTTTGGCTTTGAGGTGAGCCAAACTGACTATAATAATCCCTGCCCTGCAACTTGTTCTGGAAAGGACCACGAAAAATAAAGGACCAAAAAGAGAAGATAGAATCACTGAGTGTACTTTTTAGTCATTATGTACATTATTTGATTGAATGGAGCAGCAGAGCTGTCCTCTAGTTATAGACTAAATTTGAGCAAAAACACGTATCAGACCGTATCTCACTGGCATAATAAGAAGCTTAAAATTTGATCAATATGGTTAATCAATGAAGAATGTCTCAAATCAAACCTGTACCCCTTACTGTTCTTTGCTTTCTATACAACTTACCATTTTCCTTCAGAAGCATTACTATTTTCTGCCTAAAATTACCATTGTAATTACCTCAATTACTACCTTAATTTTGCTTTGCTAAATAGAATTTAATCAGTCAATTAATATTTAAGGACCTAGTATATGTCCTGATTTTTCTTCATGCTTCCAAAAGTTAGAGCAATGAGGGCAATAGTCTAGAAAATTATAACATCACTAATCATATGATTGTTTTAATCCCACACGTAGTTTCAACTACGAAAAGAATCATTCCCTTATTTCTAAATTTTAACTGCTTTTTGAATAATTCTGTGTATGCTACTATCAGATGATTTCAGGTAAGGTATACTTGGTACTTGATTATAAAATGAGACCATTTAAAAGTATAAATTTTACATCAGCTTATAAAAATGAAAAAGTGATAACGAAGTTCCAAAGGGGAAATTATATAACAGCTACAGACACATTTTTAGATCATATAATTTTATTTAACATGAATATGCTATTGTCAAACTCATCAGCTAAACCACTCAGCAAAATGCATCTAAACAACAACATTTTAGTATTTTGCACTGACTATATATTCATTAACTTCTAACCTAATTCTCAGCTGTCATATTTGCTTATTTTTGTTTTTAAGCAAATACAGTCTTGGGGCTAATTAGAAAAAGAAAATAAATAGATTTTCTAGGAAGATAATTGAACTTTTTAATGTCAATATGGCAATTAAAGCAAAAAATAATTTGTACGTAAAATTCATGTTCCAGAATGTAAGCACGTTCTAGAAAAAGCTGACATGAAAGACAAAAACATTTGTTATGCTTGGTTATGACAGTTTTATAAACATATCCTTTGAAAAATGAAAAAAATCTTGTTTGGAAATAAAATCATCCCTAATTTTCATAAATTATTTATATCTGGAAATTAACATAATAGTAGAACAATGACAATTCAAAATAAGTTGGATCACATTGATGTCAATAATATGTTTTGTTCAGATAGCTTTTGAGGCACAAAGTGTTAGCAATGATTAATTCACTCATAAAAAGAAAAATGTTTTGCTAGCTTTGTACTTTCTTTTTACCTGACTCATAAAAAGTTAAAATTAAAAAATAAAAGTTCCCTTTAGGAGACGTTTTTTAAATGTTTGAAAAAAATGAAAAGCAACAAAGAAAATGTCAAACATATTATTAGCAAACAGGTATGCTAATGAACCTTCTACATAATTTTAGTGTGTTTAGAAAAGTATATTGCAAGAATTATTTAAAATCAGATTATAATCACTTTACATATATTATATGTTTGCTTACATTTTCGATTATTTCTGCAAAACTTGTTTTCTTAAACTATTTGGACAAATGCTAGCAGGATTTGCATTAAAATTAATTTCTCTACAACAGATTGATAACATATTCTACCACATCCCACTTTCTTCCATTGCACTCAAAGTTGAATTTCCTATAATAATTTGCTTAGCATTAAGAAAGAATAATAAAAAGCTTACAAACTCACTTTAATTTAAATTTGTATTCAGGAAGTGCTTGTCTGATATAATTCAGCTGATAAATATGAACCTATGTGTTTATCAAATCCCTAAGAAGATTATCTAAATCAACTCCGTGTAATTACCATTCACCATCTGTTCCACCAGGGCCTGAGCTGATCTGCTGGCATCTTGTAGTTTTCTGTACTTCTCGGCTTTTTCTCGCTCTATGGCCTGCAGCATGATAGCAAAGGTGAGTATTTCAGTATAAGGATTGTGAAGCTACACAGTCATTATAATTTCTACTTGTCCTTTCAAGCCTTAAGATATTTGACTCTGTCAGCTTATCAAGTGAATCTAAAGATTTGTTCTCGTTTCTCAGCATCAGAAGCATCAAAATGGCAATGGAAACACAAGCGATTTTCATGCCAATTTGCTACTATTTTTAATAAGATTTTTACTCTTAACTTTTTTACATAAAAGTTTCTGATGCATTGTAATGAAAGACTGAAAAAAAAAAAAAAGAACCAGCAAAGGCAAATTATAACAATGAAAGGATAAAATGTCAGATAATTAAAATGGAATTTATCTTTTAATTATACACCACTGAAATTACTCATCACAATAGTATATATTCTGTAATAAAAATCAAATAGAAAATCTAGTAGGTATATACGATGGGAAAAAGTACACTAGCGTGACTAGTTTAGAAAAAACACATTTATCTAAATACACAACTGCAGGTTAATTTTTTCTCTCTAAAATGTCAAAGTACACCTATTTCAAGAAAAAACAGATTCAGTTTCAAAAAGTTTTCTAAATTCTTGTGTTCATTTCTCCCAACCAGAGTCAACTTTTGAACAAAATACAATTATTTAAATTAACAAAACCTAGCATTTGATAGTGTTGAGTTTAGCTAATATCTCTACAGAAATAAATTTTCAACCATGATTCACCACTATATTACTATAGTTATTAAAGAGATGTGGTTATAATATATATGTCCTAAAACAGAATATCCACAGAAAAAGCAAGCTACAATGCATTTAACATATAGTGATAGCAATACTTCTGTGAATAAATAATAGTATAATCATAAGATTTCACTTGCGTTTGTGGAAAGAGGTTATTCTACATCAGACCAGTTTTCAAAACTTTATTTAGATCACTAGGCATTTAAACAAATATCTCAAGGTATAATACTGGAGTACAGGTGGGAGAACATACAATAGATACATGTACACTCTACATAGTGTTGTTCAGTAAGAACTTTCTGCAAGATTGGAAATATTCTGTATCTGCACTGTCCAATATACTAGCCACTAGCCCTGTGTGGATATTGAGCACAAGAAACTTGGCACATGTGATGGGGGAATTAATTTTAATTTAATTTTATTTATAAATTTAAATTTAAAAAGCCACATGTGACAAGTGTCAATTATAATTGTACAATGCAGATCTAGTGTACTCCCCTGAAAGCAAATAATTGAAGATAGATAGCAGATAGATAGTCATAAATACAGAAATTATAATATGGCAACATCAGAAATATTTTCAAAGAAATAAGCAATCATCTAGACTAGACTATTTCCCAAGCACATAAAATGATGTGAATGCTCATAAGATAATCCACACATTTTTAAATATTTCGAAAGATTCTCCAATTTAAAGAATAGCCACAATTGAATATAGGCTTTTTAAAAGTTATTTTTAAGAGTTTTATGAACTCTGGTTATCGGATTCAATGTTAAGAGTGTAAAACACTAAAAGAGCTGATAGACAATAGAATATATCCAGTCAGGAAAAAATGTAATACATAATATATTATTACATTTTAGCAGAATAAACGAAGAATGAAATAAAACACTATAAAATGATAATCTTGATAATCTTTTTAAAGTACTTATAACAGCTGGAAAAGATACATTTTTCATAATACTATCAAGGGCAGCAAATGAAAACTTAGGATCATCTCATCAGTGAGAAAACTCCAAAAGTAATAGACTCATTCTAACATCTTGAATTGTTTACACAAACATGTGGGCAACCATGAAAGGTTCTAACTTGATATCTGAACGAACAAGTCCGTGAAAAAGAAGTAGCCACATCTTATTAAAGGTAAGGACCTAGGCAAAATTCCCAAATTCACATTTTCTCAACTTTTATCTTTTAAATTCTCTGTCCTTAGCAGCTTATTGGTACATGTTTTACAATACTTTAAATTTGTTCTCCATTAAAAGGTAAATTCTATTTGTAAAGGAGTCTGAGCACTTTAGAAAAAATAAGCATTCTAATTAAACATGCAATATTCACAGCTATCAAGGACTACAGCAGAATTTGGGGTGTCCCAAATTTGAACTACGTCATTAAATAAATAGACAGACAGATAAGAGAAAAATATATATATATAAAACAATAGGAACAGTAACAAAAACTGTTCTTTGAGTTAGTGTTAGACATCCTTTTCTATCAGAGTGGTTTCTATTTTATCTACATTGAGTTTTTTTAAACATGAAATTATATAAAGAGTAGAATCAGAACACCATGTTGTCTTTATAATTGATGAAAAGAAATTATCAATAGCCTTCTAAATGTCATGATCATTATCTCTTTATTCTATGCATTTAATGGAATAATCAATTACTATTAATAACAGACAAAAATATAATTGAATATATCAGGGTAATATTTGAGCTTAAATATCTTGCTTGGTTAACCACATTATCCTGGGTATTCTAATATAAATATTAATAACAACCACCACCAACAACAAAACAATCTATGAAATAGGTACTATTTCTCTCGATTTGTCAGAGGAAGAAAGTTAAGACACAGAGAGCTTTGTGGATATTTGAAAACAGGGGCATAACCATGATAAAAATGGAGTTCCTTATACTGTCTACTAAATTACAGTTTATGTATACTATTTCATATGTATGTCATAATAATACTGTTGGATAGAAGGAATCGGCATTATGTTATCCTATTTTATACAAGAGAAACTGAGCATCAATAAGATTAAGTCATATATCCAAGGTATATGTTTTAGATGCAATATTAGAACCCTGATCCTCTATTTATAAAAAGGTCTGCTCTCTTTCAAACATGCTCTGCTGCTTCTAGGGCTATTTCAATGGAAATGAATTAAACAGATTTGAACATATCTGACTAAAACACAGCAATGCCCTGAATAGTTTAAATGTAGTCAGGGATAACATTCAAGATATTTAATCATTAATGTAGCATGGGCACCAAGTCAGAAGGAATTCCTGGACACTTAAAATAGACAATGCTATTTCTATAGGATGATTGGCAATTCTATATACAACTAAATTACTGTTCCCATTGCCAGATGTATATTATATGCAAACCGAGTAGCTGGTGGATAGAGAATACACCCAAGAAAGAAGCAATTGATGGCCTCCACATAGTTGCCAATGTTTAGATGATAGCTGAGTTCTGTTGAGTGACATCACTTTAAAGACAGTGAAGAGTCTAGAAAACATTTCATTTCAGACACAGCTATAGAAGGTTGATTTAAAATGAGAAAATATAGGGTAGCAAGGAGACAGTAAAGAAGATAATGAAAAGTTTTGGAGTCACGCTGTTCTCAGTTGGTTTGAATTGTCTCTACTGCTTACCACCTGTTTGACATTTAGAAAGTGAGTCAACCTTTCTGAGCCTCAATACATTCTATGTAAGATAAAAATAAAGCTACCTATCCTCCAGGGATTCTGAAGGGATTAGAGGAAGCTCTTCATATAATGTATTGCCCAAATTGGGCCAATTTTTATAGTAAAATGGGAATCTAGAAATAATCGAGCAGTGACAAATGGAATAACATAAACTAAGAATGTCCCAGACAAACTGGTACATATGGTTATTCTAATAAAAGGTGATCTCAATAGTCTTAAAAACAAGGTTAGGAAAAATTGGCACCAGGTGGATTTGAAAACCTTGCTCACAGAAATGTGTGAGAAGTTTCCAAATAATCATCACATATAAAAAGTGTTATATAATAATCACATATAAAGATGTTGATTAAATAAACATAACTGAAAGTCTTTTTTTTTTTTTCCTCTGGATCTGGCCATACATGCATTTGTTTCAAATGAAATAAATGAACTTCTGTTTTAAAATAAGTTGGGTTAGTAGTTTCTAATGTTTCTACCTTCTCTCATTTTCTTAAAGAAATATCTATAAATTACAAACAAAAAAGTAAAATAAAAATTACACGACTACTAAAAACTAAGTCTGGAGAGAAACATGGTTATGGAAAAAGAGGGAGTATATCCCCTGCTGTAAAGAATCGTGTGCCATCAAGGTGAAAATTTGGTTTTCCATGGATCTATCTTGCAAAGTAAAAACTGTCCCTCACACCTATTCCCTTACTCAGCTGTGTCAAAACTACTGCTATTAATGTCACCATTAGCTTCTATGCTACTACATTCGATGGCTGATTCTCGGGCTTCAACTTAGTTATCAAAATATTTTTATTCAGAGAGTACTTGTTACAAATTTTTCTTAATTTGGCTTCCTATACTATAAGCACAAAGTTTTCCTCCCCCACTCAAAAACACCTTTTACTCAATCTCCTTTGCTGGTTCCTCAACTCACTAATGTCTATATTTAGCACTTCCTATGACTCAATCTATATTTCCATTTGTTCGGGCCAAAAAATAATTGTTCTTAGCTCTTCTCTTTCTCTTAAATCCCACATTCGATCCATCAGAAAATCCTGTTGACTCTAACCTCAAAACACATCCAGGAAGTGATGTTATTAATGTGATTACTACTATCACACCAGTCAAAAGTTCCCATCACCTCTTGGGGGTCTGGATGTTTCAAAATAACCTACTAAATGGTATTTCTACTTCTGTCTTTGCTCCCTGATGATATCTTCTCAACACATCAGGCAGAGGAAGTTAGCCACAATAGAAGTCAGCTCAACTTTCCAATTAGCTGCTTTCTCTCTCTGAGTAAAATCCCAAGTTCTAAAAAGACCCAACCTGACCTTAACCTCTCTGACTTCTTAAGCTACTAAACACCTCGATTACTCAGCTCCATCCACACTTTTTGTTGTTCTCCAACACTCTGAGCATGCTTCTGCCTCAGGGCTATGTATTTATTTACTCTTCTCTCTGGCTAAAATGCTCCTACCTTCCATAACTATAAAAGAAATTCCTCACCGCCTTTAGATCTTCACAGAAATATCACTTTCTCAGCTAGGACTT